TAGCCACGCAGTGTGAATGAGTCAACAGATGTTTTGACATTATTCTCCATAAGTCTCTTTGCTTTGCAGCATAAAATTATCTCAACATGCCAAAACAGGGAAGGTCAGTGATGGTGAAAAAGATCCTTTTCCAAGGCCTCACGTGAATTAGGCTTGTCATGGAAAATTGTTGTCATGACAACCTTTTGGACACCTTGGCTGCAAACCAGATCATAGTTTCTGAGAAGACTGAGCCCCTCCTCCACTGGACTGTAACTTCTTGGTTTGGTGTCTGAACAACAACGATAAGACGAGTAATGAAGGGATTTATTTCCTTCTTCCTCCACACATGATAAGCAACAAAATTACTACAGTAATACACACGGCCAAAGATTAGTTGATGAAGAACGTGAATGTTTTGCTGCATGTGAGCCATAAAGATAAGTTAATGACTCCACAAGATTACAGTAAACTATAAAGTAGTCCCTTGTGTGCTTGTAAACCAATATACTTGGTGTTTACCTGCTTTGTTTTTGATTTAATTTTGACCTCAACAATCAGATGCAGATACGACCTACATACCTAGCAGATCTTGATATGTTCACTTAATCGTAATTGTTTAGCTTGAGTTTGTAACTCATAATGTTTTTGTTTGAATGTAAATTGAAATTGCTTTATTTTTCTCTTTTTTAAATCAAATTGGCATTATATAAACATCAAACAGATCTTTCTGTTGCACTCCTTTAAATTAAAGCTGTATAATTTCATGGATGTTAGGAGTTTATATTCAGCATGACCTACTCTAAGAAGCTGTACTGATACTTTTAGAAAAGCATCTCACATGTAGTATTCACTGATCTAATCCATATTTATTTAACATATAAAAATCCATTTCATTTTTTGCATCCAGTAGCATAGCCAACAGACTGGATTCACTCAATTGAGAATATTTATTTTTCTTCACTAATGTAGTTATTTGTATGTTATGATCGATGGCCGTTTGCTGTTATATTTTGATTACTTTTAAGTCCTGAACTATTGTATAATTGCCATACTAAGTTCATTTCATTATTGCTAGAAAGGTGAAAACATTTCCTGTTTACTAAGAATCCATGCTACATAGCGCCTGTAACTACAAACTGAACAAATTAAATGTCTTGCTTGAAACAGACTCTTCCAAAAATCTTAAAATGATGTTTGTAAGAACTATTACAAACCATGTTTATGGCCTAGCTATGCTAATTACAACTTGAACTGGAAGTGTTCCCCTCAGGCCAGCCACGACTGGAAGGCAGCAAAATCTGACTGGTTTAAATGTTCTTTACTGGTTTCTGTCTGATTTCCATTTCCCACTCTTTCTGCAGTTCACCTGGATGTTTAACATTTTGTTGAACTCAATTCAACTGAATTGAGTTAAACAATTCAGTTGTGCCGACATTTATTATGAATTATAATAAATAATGTTATAATAAATGTTGGCACAAAGCACAGTAAGCTCAGTAATTATTCAAGACTGCAATTACAAAATTTATGGAAATATCTACAGATGAGACATTGTGTTACCTCAAAATTTTAAAAGACTGTAGAAAATGATATATTAAACTATATTAGGATGCCGCATGATTCACACACTGCCTCTCAATTTTATAAGCTGTTAAGTTATAATTTGAGCAGTGAATCGTCAAATATTAAACTTTTATGGCAGAGAGATTTGAAAATAGAGTATACAAAAGAAAAATTGTTGAATGTGCTGTCAGAGAGTGGTAAATATGTGAAAGAGGCCAGATGTAAATTTATACAGTATAAGGTGCTACATAGATATTATCATATACGCCTGCCAGACTACATAGAATGAAAATAATGGCAGACAATATGTGTTGGAAATGTAAGAAAGAGGTGGGCACATATTTGCACTGTTTTGGGACTGCTCTCTGGTTTCACCCTTTTGGATTAAAACCTTGGACGCTCTGAGTTCAGGGCTCGGCTCAGAGATCCTCAGACTCCAGAACTGCATCTCTACTAGGAGACAGAACTCAAATGACAAACAACCCAAAAGGAGTTTCTACAGTTGTGGTGATCGGTCTAGTGACAGTATGCAGGTTTATCGTAAGACATTGAAAGACCACAAAGTGTCCCAAGCTAAGTGAGTGGATTAAATCGATGACAGACACAGCTTCCTATGAAGTCATGCTCAACAACATGGAAGGGAACAGGGACATGGACCGGATAGCTTTTGGGACTCACTGAAATGAATTACGGCCTTAGTGTGAAACATCATGATGAAGCTTCTTGGATTTCCTGGACAACTAATTTTCCCCAGCTACTGTATGTTTTTGAACTAACACTGTGATGTATAACTGTACCATGGGGGTTTGGGGGGGGGGGTGTTGGGGGTTGTGCTCCAGCCTTTTCTGTTTGTGTTTTTGCTTTATGTGTGATAATACTCAGAAAATCAATAAAAAAAAATAATTACAAAAAGCATAATTACAGCATTGGATCAAGCCTCGCTTTGGCCAATCATCGTTCGAGCTCCAGTTGACAAGGACCTCCTGACCACGGCCTCCTCTGCTTACCAGCTGCGATCAACCCACCTCCGCCCCATCTCCACCTTCTGCTCCTGGCTCTCAGGCCACATCCTTCTTCGACAGCCGCCACCAGTACAGGCCCAAGGGGGGATTACATTCCTATGCAGCATCAGGAATGTTTATCGAGCTTCTCGAAGTTCCAGCTTGACATCCCCAGCCGGGCCAAAGGACTTTAATGTTTATTTGTCATTAAACTTTCTTTAATTGCTTTCTTTCTCTCTCTGAGTCTCTCCAGATTGAATTGACATTGTTTTAATATACTAAAAGTTCCAGATGAACTCTGTTGATCCAACCTGAAATTGTTCAGTGTTGTCTTTCCACTGAACCCCATTTTAAATACTTTTGTTTGAAAAGAATAATAAAAGCCCTGAAAACGTTGAAAATGTGAAAAAGTTTGAGGCGCTCTTCGCGTTCTACACATTTCAGATCAAGTTTGATGATCAGAACTTGGATCAAAATGTGCCAACACTGCAGGGTAGCAAAGTAAACACAGCGAGCAAGACGGCTCCTACAAGCTCAGCGTTAACACAAATGTAGCATTGTGTTTATTATTTTCCTGGACAGAGCACACACTTTGTGCCCTGAAACTATCATCTTTCTGTCAGTTCAAGTAAGGAGACAGTAAACATTGTGTCGTTTTATGGCCACAGCTTCACGTGCTCCGGCCCGGCCCAAACCGTCCCGGAAAGATAACGCACCGCTTCAGAAACTCACCTACTTAAACTTTGATATGTTTTACTGTCGGGCCGACTTTCAAGCATTCAAGGAAGCGGAACATGACCGCTTATCGTTTAGTCACATTTCTCAGTCCTTCCCATGAGTGTGCACAACAGAATGGCCAATAAATGACTGTGCTGAGGTGATATAGCAGTATTTGTGTTCGGGTTACTAAATAACCAGGCCAGTAACAGGCAGCTGTTACTGAACGGACATACTATCCCTACACAGGCATTAGTCATTATCATGGACCCAAATAAGTAAATTAAAACATAAAAGGCAAACACATTTATTTGATAAACTGGCTGTGGTGCTGCTTATATTTCCAAAAATAATTTCTAGCCATTCTTGTAGGACTCGAAAAGCAGCCTCACTGAGAGTCGCCTCTGTGGCTACCGGTGGTCAGAAACAGTGAAGGAAGCAGGCGGTCGCTGTCACAGCTCCTGTGTGAAGACAGTTCAGCAGCAGCACCTGTTAGCTTATCACTGCTGCATGGAAATCACCCGCTGGACAGATTCTCATCTCCTACAAAATGGCTCATACAAAGAACGGCAGCAGCATGACAGTATTTCTGTGTCTTCTGTATCGATGTCATGGCTGCTCTGCCAGTCTGAATCTGTAATCTGGAGAAAACGGCGCTAATAAAGGCTCCATTTTAATCTGCAGATTTTAGGATTCCCAGCAGGGCTGGCCCCAGATTTTATGGGGCTCAGAGCAGAATTTGATTTGGGGTCTACTTCCTGTCAAGCCCATCAGTAATCTAACAAAATTTCGTATTGGACAATAAATCAACACTATATCGCAATAAACATAATGGTATCAATAATACGTCTTATTGAATATCTAGAATATTCACTAGACTCTGATCCAGAGCCATACAGCATTCTGGGAGATGTAGGCAGAGGGAAGATGTTATCCACTCAACCTCTCACTGCTATCTAAGCTAGGTTGGTAGCAACAACCTAGTGAGTAAGTTGCAGCAGTTTCATGTTTTACCACCGTGATTCATAACTGCTTAAAAATTAAGAAAAAAGGCTGGATAGAAAACTGTGGATTAAACAGGAAAGGTCACAGTATTTCAGATATTTAAAGCAAAACATGACTCAATAATTATCAGTATTGATTTTCAGCCATATCGTCAATTAAAAAAAGTTTCACTGTGAAGAAATGTAACATCACGACAAAAACAGTCAGTTAGATTAAAGCTGGTAGCCAGACAGTCACTGATCCTCAGTTTGGACCTGGATAAATTCTGCTCTGTTTGGTTGTAAAATTATATCTAATAAATATAAATCTACTCTACTAAAACAAGCTGGCATCACATCTGAGCTCTACTTATTTGACTGTTTTGGTGTTTTTATTTAGTCAGGTTACTTTTCAAATTGCTGCTTCAAATGTGTTTCCATGTGTTCTGTGAAGTAGAAAGTTTGAGCTGTAACTCAGAAAAGCAACATTTGGCTACAATAAAACAGAGACGTTTCTAAAAGCTGCCAGGAAACAGCCACCTCTGGCTCAAACACCCAAACCACTGCAACTCTTTTGGTCTGGTTTGATTTACTTTATTGCCACATTCTGAGAATCTGGTGAGTTTGGGTGTGAATGGTTCAGTTCTGGTTCTGATCTGGTTCTGAACAAGATAAATGGAGCTGACAGGAGCATTTATTCTGAAGGATTTCTATTTTCTCCAGGGTTGTGCTCCTGAGTTATTCCAGTATGGATGAAAGGTGGAACTACAACAGTATAAACATGGGAGGAGTGTTTAGTGGAGGGAAATCAGTACAGCTCTACTCAGTCCTGACTCCTCTTCCTTCTCCTCCTCCTCCACTGCAGGCGCCACCCCAAGGCCAAGTCTTTCTATTTGCATAGAGGGCTAAAAAGGGAGCTGACAGAACAGGGCAGGTGGTAACGGCCAACAGACTGAGGAGGAAGGAGGATCAGCCTCCAGCACTGAACGCCCGCTGTCTCGCTCAGACAGAACCGCAGAACGACATCACATTAGAAGGAGCAACCTGAGCAACAACAACTAAAACTCTGAGGTTTCTGAATCCAGCCCATTAACTTTTCCCATGTAGAGAGGCAGTGAGCTGAGCCAGGCTGAGTGACGGATCAACAAGGGATAGACTGACATCTTCATCCTCTAACAGGTAAACTGGACTTCTGCAGATCTAAATCTTCTGTTTTTATGACATTGACTCAGTAAGGAACACTCCTTCAGACAACAGCAGCTGTGTTAACATGCAATGAGTTAGTTTGTTTTTAAGCACCTCATCAATACTTTGCTGAGTGTTCTTGACTTTCATAGCTGGATTATCAAACAGAATGAACTCTGAGCCCTCATAGCAAACTCATGTTCTGCATGTTGGACTCTGGTGTCTCTGCTTTCGTCCTGCATTGTCTTTCTTGTTTACACTCTCTCCCATCTGCTTCTACCACAGCCCACCTCACATTCAGCTCTCCTGTATCTGAACGGGTCCACCCCCTCACTCTGAAGACGTCAGGTGGATCAGGTTTCATTTGCTGTGGAAACTGAGAACAGGTAGTGCTGCATTGAGCATGACAGTTGGATTTACAGGATATACAGAAACAGGCAGTTGGAACAAACACAAAGAAGCTGCAGAAGTCTGAATACTTGATGAGGCTTGCAGAAAAATAAATAAATAAATAAAAAACAACCTTGACTGGCATCCAAAGGAACTGGGATTGGTTTTCAGACAGGTCAGTGGGACAGGGGAGGAAAAACAGATGAGTGAATGGAGCCAGCAGCAGAGAGACCCACCCAGTGTTTGACGTTTATGTTTTGGGTTGAGCAGAAACTCAGTTAATGTTTGACTGAGGAGTTATCAGTCTGGGAGCCATTTTTAGCAGCCACTCCAGATTCTTTTAAGCATTGGAGCTCACAACCTGAATGGGTTTTTACATCAAACTGTTTGTTTTATAAACAGACATTCGACCTTCAAACCACACCGAGACATTTTACCTTAATGACAGAATACTGAGGTTCCAAATAAAGCAAACATTTTTAATTAAAACTGGATATAAATAGATAAAATCAGAAATATTTAACAATACCAACATTTATTATTCTTTTAACTTCTAATTTTCTTTTAACTTAAGACATAAAATGGAAAATAATAAATTACAGTTTGAGAATAAGTATTTTACTTTTTTAAATTATTTCATAGTTCTCTAGCAGTGGACCAACAAATGAGACAATTTGTCTCTGAGGCTCATTCCAGCTGAGACTGATGGGATTTTTATTCTTTGGCATTTATTTGAAGTAGTGTTTTGATACTCTGTTTTATCAATTTGTGTTATTGTCGTTCCTGTACAGCACTTTGGTGCAGTTTTACACCTATTATTAAAGTGCCATTTACATAAATTTGACATTGACATTGACATTGACATGTCAAACATATGATTATATAAAATAATTCATTTTTTGTTCTGGCTGTTTTGGACATCCATGCTGAGAGAGGAAAGAGAAACTTTACTTTTAATGCAAAATGTTCCTTTGAGACAATTATTTCATATTTAACCAAATATTGGATTCAGACTAACCATTCAGTTTTCAATAGCTTCAGATGTTGATGTAACTTTTTACAAACAGGGAATTTATTTCTGTTGTGCTCCTCCTCACTGGCCACAAGATAAAATGTGGTTACTAAGTTACTGTCAGGTCATGTCGAGCTAAAGGCTAAAAGCTGAGGCCAACACTGTAGATTTTAATTAGAGGTATTAATGATGAGGTTTTAAATCTGTTTACATGTCACACAAACTCACCTATTACAACTAAGATATATTTAATTATTTTGCATGTAAAAAAATATACGTAGAAACGTCTAAACACATTAGCAGCAGAAATCTGTTAGTGGGTGTTTAAAAAGCCACAATAATGAAAAATATGCAATATTTCATGTTAAGTTATTTGAACTTGAAGGTTCCTGAAGCTAGAAATATTTTCTCAGTTTCAGTCCAAATCCATTTGCAGTGGCATAGTCTCATTTATTTATAGAACCGTTAATTACATTTACTTATGGAAAGTTAAATATTATTCAGGAAACAGATTTTGCTTCATCATTTACCACAGAAAAAGAGTCCACACCTTAGAATTGAACTTCAGAGAATCTGATGAGATGTCATGACAATTACACAGAAAAATCTGTCCTAATCCCTGAGAAGCACGACCAGCTTCAGGAATAAAGAGGGAGAGCAGCAGGAATGTCAAGGGCAGATGGAGCGATTAGCTGGAGAACAAATGGAGCCTCTGTGCCTGGGAGAGCTGAGTAGGACCAGGCCTGAGGGCAGCACCACAAGAACACCTGTGTTCCTGCGATGTTCACACACGCACACACACATTAAAACTCAGCTTAAGCTACACATTTTTATCTAGTTCCACCAACTTAGGCAGTTGGTGGAACTAGATTTTACTTAATATAAAGAGCTAAAAATTAATCCAAAAAAGAAAA